CGCTGGGGTCGCTGGGCTCTCTCCCCTCTCTCTCTTTTTGGACGGAGTCGACGGGCCGGCGGGCCCCACCCGCGGCGAAACGGGGGAGCACGACGCCGGGGGGTGACGGAACGGAACGGAACGGAACGGAGGGAGGGGGAGCGGGGGCAGCGGATTCCGTTACGTTTTCGGCGCATCTGGAACGGAACGGGGTGTGGTTGGTCGCCGTCGCCTGGCTGGGCAAACCGACCGGCCGGGAAATGAACGACCTCGATAAACCTGAGACCGGTGCGTGGGGGAACCGGATCCTCAACATTGAAAAGGATTGTCACGGTGCTATCGTGTTAGCCTAGTGTAAAATGAAGAAGGAAAATTAGGGACTGTTAGTAGATAGTTAGTAGGTTGTTTAGTGTTGATATTTATTGTAGATATAAATAATTTAATTTTAATTTTATTTCACCATCAATTTGTTTGCATGTAATTTTTATAAATGTACACGGTAGATCACCAATTTGCAAATTAATTTAAATCATTTTAGGCTCAGTTTGGTTCATAAGTCCTAGGATTTTTTTAGTCCCAACTTATAAGTCTCACGTAAGTCTCTACCTGTTTGGTTCCCGAGACTTATAAGTCTTTATAAGATCATATTACAACTATAAGTCCCTATAAGTCCCTCCTTGAGAGTCTTATTTCATAAGTCACAAATGCCCACTTTAAGTCTCTATAAGTCTCTCCTGTTTGGTTTAGATGAGACTTATAGGGACTTAAATAATTGTTGTTAGAGTATCCGGTTCCATGCGTGGGAGGGCTGAAATGGCCGGAAACAATTGTTGTTGGAACAAACGAGGGACAGGCTGATGATGATTTTTCGGGCAGAAAATCCAGTTTCTAAAGGTTTGACCCATGACTAAATCTGAGAATGGTTTCATACTTAAACCATACTTGAACCATACCCGTATATATCTCTCAAAACCATACTTGAACCATACTTGTTTAATGCCATTTTCAGACCAACTAAAACTAAACCATCTATTTTTTTCACCCAAACCAATTTAAACCAAATACATAACCGTGGGTTTAAACCCAATACATAACTATGGGTTTGCTTTTTTTTTTGAAATGGATTATGGGTTTGCTTCAATGTATATATGATTGCACAAATTGACATGTTAAGAAACAAAAAATGACATAGAAAAGGCATAAGTGCATCTACAACAGTTTGAGAACAAAGTTATCGTTGAGATACGGTCAACACACAGCAAGAGTCAAAAAGACAATGCCCACAACTGAAAAGCTCACTGACAAGTGTATTGAAACCAATTGCTTAGCTAAAGCACAAGCAAACACGTTTGATTTGCATGTGGTATTTCCCCATAATACAAAATTACATAATGCATCGCAGCATGTACGCGGATCAAAGATACTCGTTGTCGATGCGTTATTGCACATAACCAATACCCAGAAACCGGTTTGGACCCATAGTTTATAACCGTTAATAACCAAATTGTTTAAGCCCATAACCAACTATACCCAAATTGGTTTCTTCACATACCCAAACCAAAACCAAACTAAAAAAGATTCAGCCCAATGAAACCATAACCAGTCAAACCCAAAGTAAGAACCGGACCGTTTCACCCAGTTTTTTAATAACCATTCTCAGGTTTACCCATGACACTGGCAAGCAAGCGGCCCTAAGGCATGCTTAGGGGAACCTTCGAAATTTAGACCTTCAAAAAGAGCCTTTTCATACCATAACTTCTTACATTTGAGCCACTAAAAAAATCCTAGCCAAACTCTTAAATTTAACTTCTCGAATTTGTTGTCCATGCAATTTTTTGGAGGGGCTAAAGCTGATAAGATCGGCTT